TAAAGAAGGTGTAACACTGGTTTTGTATTTTGCTCCTATATATTGATCAATGGCTCTTGATCATATGATCGATACCCATGGCGATATATGGATCAATATTGGAATATATTTTCCTGGAAAGCGATGCTTATAGACATTGTGAATTCTATTGCTCCTGATGTTAGGGATTCTATGTGGGAAGGATGATGTCTATTTCATTATAGAAAATAACACTTTTTCATATACAATGTATATCATTTATACATGTGTTTCAAATGATGGTATTTTTAGCATGGATGGCATTATGGATTTAGAGGTCAGAGATGTCAAATCGGCTTGTCCTTTAGTCCCCGATATGCATTTATGAAATATGTATTTTTTTATTTGTTTACCTGGCCATTTTCGTGTCTGTATCATAATAACATGCAAAAGAGCTTCGTTTAACAAGAACTGTCTTAATAAGTCGTCCCCCTTTTCTGAAGCAGAACGTACTAATGTAGCTGTTCTGGAAATACAAGCAGACGGCTGTTCCAAAGTTCTTGAGACGGACCGCCAGTGGTCATTATGAATGAAGAACGTCACTGATGTGTTTCCCAGCATATCGACAGAGATTGGTGTAATGAAAGAGTTTGAGTACAATTATATTGAAGATTACAATAGCATGATTCAAGAGTTTTGTTGTAAACTGAAGCAAGTAGATTTGTGTTCTAGCCGGGATTTTACATTCAAAATTCCATTTGCTCTCTTAAAGATTTATGGTAAAACTGCATTAGGTAGTATGAAGAAGGCTATCGTTAAAGCAAACCTGACCGGGAAAATAGGTTGGATAGCAGACAAGATGAAAATTGAGAAAAACACATTTTTAAGGTTATGTGCAAATGCTCTGGATAGTACCATATTGTTTATTCAAAGTAGTTTGGCAGGTCAGTCTTGCACAGGTACCAAAATAGTCTTAATGACCGGAGATTTATCTGAATGTCCATTACTGCAGGCAAGCATGAAGTTGGTCTTTGGTATGATGAAATTCATGTTTCAATATTCTTTCCCTTGTGCTGCTAACATTGGTGCAGTCTTCTATGGACACACTCCTTTAGCTGTTGAGCCTGAGTTTACATATGGATTTCGTACTAATGCAATTTTTGATCCCAAAATTCATCCCGAGAACAAAAAGATCTTTAACGAGAAAGACCAAACATATTATTGCCGAAATGCGTTTTCTAAACAGACAACCAGGGGAGAAATGCTGGGAATCAACATGGCCTAGAGTGACCAGCTCTATCACAATACATTTCTTACAGAACTCTATCACACTCCCTGAATATATCTCGATTGACAAAAATCCTAGATTTGTTGATGAACCATATTGGATTACATTATTTAAAACACGATAATGATATGGCAATACATGTCCTGTTCCTGTTTGCAATAGCGGAACTCAGAATTGTAACCATTGATTGTTCTACTCAGGAGTTTACTGTGCACAGGCTTTCTTATCCATCTACCTGGATGCGCATGGAAGCATGGAACAGAAGCTTGAATGAGAGCATGTGTAGAACTTCGAATGATACAGTATCCTTAACCAGCAGCAGACCATGTCCGTCATACCGTTACCATGACAGAATTCGAAGAACTATTTATAGATAACGATATTTTTCCTCGTGATGCAGGTTAATTTACGTAACCAGATAATTGCACAGTAGCTTGCCCTTTCGGGGCTCCTCATGGGCATTTTCGGAGTCTCTGTATAAATATTTCTTTTGTTCATATGATTTCGTTGAGCTTGTATTTGGGTTTGTTGTGGTTCCCGTTGACAAAACAGTATTTTCTTTATTGTCTATGTCATAATGAGTCAATATTGCCTTAATATACAAAATATCCATCGTATAAGTATTATTTACATTAATTAATTAATTACATTTCATTCTGTATGTAGAGATCTAAAATGACAATTTATCTTACATTGTTTTGTCGGCGTTTTGGTTGTTGCTGGTTAGACACATAACTTATATTTGCTGATTCCAACAATTCCACCTCTTAAGATGAAAAATCTACACATGGAATTGACACACAGACTGATCTTACTTGTCAATATGTGATATTTGTTGGTCTGTGCGAGTTGATGAGTATATGGTAGACATTTTACAACAAAAGTAATTGTATATGCATCAAAAACATAACTTCAATAGCTGTCCTGTTAAAATGAACTGTCAAAGTGTTTTTAAAATGTTGTATTACAATAGTAAAAAATAAATGTCGACATATGGCCATATTACACAAATATTTATGTTCTTTCATTAGATAACACTGTGAAGTCTAATACGAGACATTCAATAATCATCAAATGATGTTTCTTGCCTACTTAAATTATACATGTATATATAATGATTTTGTTTGTCCATTTTTGGTTCCAATGTTCATGCGAAATTCATTTATTTTCAAAGTTTTTTAAGTGTCATTGACTTACACCAGGCTTTGAGTTCCTCTTTGGTATCGGACATCTTTTTATTTGTGTCAGATTGTGTTGTTTAATGTGTGCCTTACCAGACTTTCAATGTGCGAACGTATGAGAACACAAAAAAGCGAATTTCGTACTTTATTAAATGGGGTGTGCGTCACAGTTTTTCACTTTCCGTCTTGGTGTGTTTGTGCCTGCCTGCGTGTGTGCGTCTGTGTCCGTCTGCTTGTGTGCATGAGTGCGTGTATGCGTGCAAATCTCTGGACAGATTTCTTTCATATTCACACGAAAACATAACATTATCAGATTATAATGTTTTTTCATTGGTTGTATGCAAAATGCAGCTTTCCGATTAATTGATTCTTCTTTTCGTTTCTGGTGTAACACAATGACTAAACACAGTGTTTACTTGGGTTGACCGAAACGTTTATTTCATCGTATAGTGGTTTTCCATAGTTAGTACTTCGCGTTAATATCCATTACAAAAGATAGTTCCTGATCAACATACAGCAGCATGTCATGGCACCAAAACTAAACACCTGTGTAAGGCAGATAAAAACTAAACACCTGCCCGTCCATATCAAAGAGTTCCATACAAAGGTTCATGGGCCAACTTGGCCAGGACCCGCTCCGTCTCCACGTCCGACTCCCAACTCTCTCTAGCTACTCGATCCCAGACTCAACTACACTTCTGCTGGCTATTATCTTTGTATAAATAATACCCAAATACTTAATTTAAGCCTAGTCCCAATTGGACAACAATAACCCAGCCCCCGGAGCATCTAATTATGAAGGCACGTGCGACTAGGAGTACCCGTTATCAACTTCCCATCTTTGATCTACCTTATACATTGTTTCTTATCTTGTTTACTTACAAATGTGTTCGCCAGCGCGAGGCATACAAGAAAGCATCTATCTGTCCTGATCAATCATACTGGCGATATTCTGCCACGGTGCTTCACCACTTGGGTACACACCCCGCCCGTTATCAGGCGTGCATCACTATCTATCACTCACGGGATCTTTTCCTCGGTCCAGCATTAACTGACTTTTGACCTGATGTACTTTAAACTAAGATGCTGCTCTCTACGATACACACCATTCCAAAACTACCATTAAACCCATTTTTTACTCATTTTGTTACACTGGATGAAACCAACTTGATAATGATTGGAGGAGGCAATGTCAATATGCCACCTTGCAGTGGGTCGTCTATTGGAACTTTGTTTATATGAATGGAATATATGTTTACACATTCACACCATGTGTGGATACTGTCATTCAAGAATTTAAACAAAAAAACCAAACTACAACCATCATAAGATATTTAAATATCTAACAATGTACACAAACAATAAACGACAAATTAATAGCGTATTTAATATATGTTTGTTATTTTGTGTTTTACGCATTTCTGTTTGCAATGAATTCGGAATGACTGAACATGACCCGAATTAGCTGTGAATGATGTCACATTATATTATGTCATCTGTTGTGATTTGTTGTACAATAATCCTCCATTAGATTATCAAATTTATACATCTATTTGTTAGTTTTGTTTTTAAAACATATCTAAGAAATTAATTATAAACTTTGAAGAAAAAGCAAATTGATCATGAATGGCTACGTGCATTAATTCATTATGATATTGATGGCAGGATGTATAGAGATACGATACAACAACAAAATCAAAGTAAGTTTGATTCACATTTCATTTCTTGTGAAAGTGCCAAATGATTAATTTTCAAGAACACTTGCGTTTTTACACCTGCTATTATCTTAATACATATATACAAGTTTAAGCAAGGGCGGGATCATACCTAAGACACTACAGAAGTGTACCAAAGACAACCATATTGGCAGTACACTTTACCAGTTAGAAGTAGATTTAAGTCAGTCAAACCTTGAAACAAACTGCTTCCTGTTGTTATTTGGTCCTTCTACGACGACGAAAGTACAAATGTTAAACAAGCATGTACGCTTAAACATGAATCTTAGTCACTCTTGTTGGTCTACATCGGAGCATATGAGGGATAATACGAGGGAAGAAAACCAAAGTACTAGAGCATGGTTATATTACCCCCGGATCCGTTAGTCCTCTGCCAAAATTTACACGGATAAGCGATAAAAGACATATACATGAAAGACAAAATTAATAATTTATGATTATATGTAATATATGACAGATTTTGATATAAGCTGCATCATACCGCTGTTCTACTTCAGTCCTTCCTCTGGATTGATAAGTCATCCATCTCTGACCAGTAACACTGTAACTATAACTTTGTGTGTCTTTAGTTTAAAATTTTCTGTTCTTATTAACAGTTACTTCTATAATTGTACAGCACAAGTGCTTGAATGTAATAGTAAAACACTCAATAAATTCTATGTGTTAAATTTCGTAATTCACATGTATGATGTGTTATGCACATGTTAGATTTGTTAACTTAATACCGAAAAATATAAAACTACATTCATTTTAATCAATTAGTAGTATATACGGTTATAAATAACCAAAGTCAGCAAATTGTGAATTAAAATTCGTTATCATTTTTTGCACTTTAAGGTGGAACGGTTGACATCACTGTGCACAAGGTTGAGGATGACCTGACACTTACGGAGCTGGCCAGAGCCAGTGGTGGAGCTTGGGGTGGAACACAGGTAGACGAGGCTTTTAAGCAAATGATCATTAAAATTGTTGGTAACCCGATTATGCAAAGATTTAGTCGTGAGCAAACATCCGATTTTGTGGATATGTTCAGGGAATTTGAAACAAAAAAGAGATGTAATGTTGAAGGGACGCTATCAAAAAAGGTGACAATGAAAATTCCTATCGCTTTGAAGGAAATGTTCGAAGAAGAGACAGACGAGGATATAAAAGAAGTTGTGCTGCAAAGTTCTTACACTGGAAAACTTGAATGGGTTAATGATAAAATCCGGATAGCACCTGAGACCTTCAAGTCACTGTTTAACTGTGCTGTAGCTGATACAGTGTGTCACATCCAAAATCTCCTCAGCAAACCTACCTGTGAAGGAACGAAAACAATCCTCATGGTCGGGGGATTCGCAGAATGCCCTCATCTGCAGAAGGGTATTCACGAAGCTTTTCCACACTTACGAATAGTCATTCCATATGAATGTGGATTATCCGTTTTAAAAGGGGCTGTGATATTTGGACATCGTCCAAAAACAATTTCCGCACGAAAAATGAAATATACGTATGGCATTGCAACAAACAAGAAATTCAAGCCATTCAGACATGATCCTAACAAGAAAAAAACCTTGAAAGGCGTTGATTACTGTACAGAATTATTTGACCAGCATGTGAGGGGTGGAACAACTGTGAAGTATGATGAAATTCAAAGCGACCGCAAATACAACCCATTATATGATGACCAAACGACCCTCGATTTTCCTGTGTACCAGTCCACAGATGATGACCCTGAATATGTCACTGACAAGAGTTGTGAATATATAGGGAATATGTCCATTGACATACCAGATGCCAGTGAAGGAACTAGCAGAGCGGTCCGTGTCAGGATGATCTTCGGTGACACAGAGTTAAAACTGGAGGCAACACAAGAAGGCACAAACAATAAAACAGTAGCTAAATTCAACTTTCTTGGAGATTAACGTGTTCTTGGATTGGATCTTTCATACAAGTTGTCTTCCTCATACATATTATCCGTTTATGATTTGAATAAAAGAGGGATATCCAAATTCATATCAATGTTATATTCGATGGTTCTGTAAATTTTTGAAATTCAGTATCTTCAATGTCTTCTTTGAGCACAGTGGCATGGGACAGAACTACAGATGTACTTTTTTATAAACATGTTGGTGTTATTTACTGTCGGTGTCATAACAACAAACCCAGCTTAATTAACTTTATGTAAATCATTTTAGTGAAAAATGCTCAAACCAGGTAAGTGTAAATAAGAACGGATGTTTCTTTTCGACACATTTTACAGATGTGTTTTTCATTGGTTTTGATTTAGTTGATAATGATGGTATTCATTGTTTTCTATTACATCTATGTCATTTTTTCTGCTATATATTAGCATGCATCTTGATACCATGTTAATGAGATGTGAAAATCCTATACACTGTACTTCGCATTGCAATATAGTACATCATAATAAACTATAAATAATCTAAATGATGTTTATTGCAAATGACATTGACCTATATTCCAGGTCATTGGGACAAATATGTTAAAGCCTTAAAACGCATTCTGATAATAAATCATAGGTCGCAGCGTATTTTTTGTATAAGTTTCTAGAAATAATCCTGACAGCTTCACGAAAAAAAATTACCTTGATATATAGTTCAAGGTCACAATGATCAAATTTCTTGAGCATTTTTAAAAGAACTTCCTCCGACGGACCAAAGGCCCAGAAACATGATATTTGGCTGATATTTTCCTAGTATGTATCCTTACAACGTTTTGCAAAAAGAAATAACCGTGACTGATATGCAAGGTAACATAAGTCAAATTTCTTAAAACATTATAACGACTTCTTCTGATCAACCAAAAGGCCTAGAAGCATATTTTACTAGTAAGTTTCTCTGAAGAAAACAAAAGTTTGTGAAAAGAAACAAAATTGAACCATATTCAAGGCCACTGCTCAATTTTTTTCAAAACCTGTAGAAGATTTCTTCTGGTAAACCAAAAGCCTGAGAAGTATATTTTGCAGACAATTCTGTGGGTTGAAACTCGAGGGTTGTGAAAAGCAATAATCTCTACCCCCTTCAGGATTACAGGGGTCAGATTTGTGAAATCCTTTACACAACTTCCTCTGACAAACCAAAAAGCCCAGAAGGATGCTATTCGGCTGATATGTTCCTAGAAGTTGTGAAAAGAACGACTTTGACGTATACTTAAGGTATCAAGGGCTGAATTTGTTACAACCCTAAAATTACTTCTTTTGATTAGCTGACAGGCCTAGAAGGATGATATTTGGCTGATGTGTTCCAAGGGCAAAGTTTGCTGAGAAATGAGCTTGAACCATATTCAAATCCGCAGGGGTAAAAAAATAGAAATTAAATTTGCCTATAATCCATGTCATTATTTAGACATGAGTGTTAGAAGCTTGTTGCCGGAAGTGGATAAAAATAGATTGGATGTGCCCACTTTGGATGCCAATGATGTACTGTTAATTATTTGAATAAAAATGGAATAACAGAAGACCGGTTCATGGCTATTTGACCCCTTGTATTGAATTTGAATTGGATCAAGATTGTGTTATTTTTATTAAAATTTGAAATATTCAGGTGAGCGATAAAGGTCTAATGTTTGTTTTGAATTACACACAGTTTATATTTGCATTATTTTGTTATTTATGATCAAATTCAAAATCATTGACATTTGTTCAAGATAACATGAGTAACCCTTTCTTGAGCATTGTACACAATGCTCACAAAGGAACACATGCGATAGTTAAAGCAAATGTACATTCCATACATGTTAAACTATTTGAAGTTCTTATCAGAAAATGAATGAATATTTAAATAAAGCATGCCATTCGTAATTTCTAGAATCAAACTTTTTTTTTTAAACCCACGTTGATTACATGTTCAAGTTCTGGTTAGGTAAAAACATGATTTACTTTTTTGCTTCAAAACATTTCTTCTAACAGAGAAAATTGTTAATCTTTCAAAAACCACGCTCACAATGTTTACCAATGAAAACTATGAAAAAATAGATAATGAATGAAAAATGAATTGCTGATAATTTGCTAATTGCTTTCATAATTGGTTTATTTATCACTGTTCATGAATGTTCCTTCACAAACTCTGGCATGACTTATATTTCGTAACAAAGACCACAAGAACAAGTGGAAGCGAATTCAGAGAATTTGAAAGCGAAATAGCCGGTGTGTGTGGTAGAGGAGGAACGCCTTCTCCGATCTGGGCTTTCTTGATCCTCGATGAGGGCGTCAGTGTTACACAGATTAGGATCGTCCTGAATTATGTCAAAGTAATAATCTTTGTCCGGAATGAAAAAGTCACAGAACACGAGAAACCTTTGTGTAAAGACTCCACTTTCCGAACATCGCGAGGCATTGTCACAGCAATATTCCCTATAAAACAACAATTGAATGCACATTTTATCATTGAAATAAAATGTCCGTGAAAATTTTAATCAATCGCTTGATATTTAAAAAACTAACGGGAATGATTTTTTGATATTTCGTATATTGCCAGTGATATGATAGAAATATTCTGTTCTGCAAAACTGTGTACCCTCTTTTACGGAAATATCCCTTTCCTGGTTAAATTGACCATTCAAAACGATACTTTTAGTAACAAAATCTAGGGTCACATACTGTGTCTTCGCCTTTGAAATGCATGCAAAAGTTTGATAGGGTACAGAATGTTTTACTTTTTTCCAGGGTAATCAAAACATGGAAACGATTTATATCTAGCCACATTAAAAGCATAAATTTGCAAAAACTGTTTAATTGGAACGTCAAAAATATGTATTCTACAAGTTATCAAAACTCTATCAAAACCTATTCATAGGGAAGTCGTCATACGGACAATTAGCATTGTAATCAAAGCTAATAAAAAGCAAGCATTGGTTTATTTATAGAAAACAATATCCATATGTTATCTATCCTGTATTTACCTTGTGCAGGTTATCTCCTGCACATTTTGCAGATCCGGTCTTGCTACCAAACACAGTACTTTACCGTCATGTTTGAAATATCCATGTATTTTCTTTGATTCACTTGGACAAACAGGCGTCCCCCTGTTGTAAAATATTTAGGTGTAAAAGTAAATATAATTGAATATAATATATATATATTTATTTAATTTTTATTGTTTACCGGTGTGTAAACTGCATTTTTACAGCGATTTTAAATGATGCGCATTAGCGCGTCGTGTTGAAAGTATCGGTTAAAATATGCAGAGTACACAATAGTTAACAACAAAAAGAAAACTTAGGTTTTATATTACATTTTGACGGTTATTTGTATGCACTACTTAACACGTATGAAATGATAATTGTCATCTATTTGGGGACGTTATGCACACTGACGGGCCAGCCCGACAACTCATGGAAAAGCAAAATATTTTATTCTATGTTGGTGTTAAAGGTTGTCAGACTTGTTGTTTTACCCAAGTGTAACAACACTTTCGTAGTTAAGGTTAAATAGGGGATAGTCTCCTACGTGTACACACTGTGCCACGTACCATTCTGTATGTATGTCATAAGCCCTATATATGTCTGCAAATAACGAGATTATTTCCGTTATGCCTATTTATCTTTATCAATAAGAATTTCTAAATGTTCTCATCCGCAATTAACTACACATGTTATAGCAAATATTCCTGTTCACTGGTTTATATATAAACTTACGTTGATGGATGCGGATCTTCCTCCTCAACCTTTGACAGTCGATGTATATAGCTAAACGCCCTGGAGTTCTCACGAAGTCTCGACGTCATCCTTTCCCTACATTTCAATGAACACGTGGATTTTTTGCTGTATTGTCTGTTTATTTAAAACATTTCGCGTTGTAAAAAGAAGTTCATATATTTTCATACGTATACAGAAACTTAGTAGTTTATGAGAGTGAATTATTTGAAGATCAATGAATATATCGTAACGTGCATAGATTAAACCATTCACTGTACCACAGGAACTTGGCACGAATTTCTTACCCTCGGATCATTTGTATTACAAATTTATTAAAGACCTGCTTCAGTACTTACAGTGTATTTCTTCTAACATTTACAACAGAGAGACACATTTACCACAGAGAGACACACTTATCCCTGAGACACTTTTATCCCAGAGACACCACAGAGAGACACCCTAAGCACAAAGAGACATACCACAGAGAGACACACTTATCCCAGAGACTCATTTACCACAGAGACACATACCACAGAGGCACATTTACCACAGAGAGACACATTCATCCCAGAGACACCACAGAGAGACAAACTTAACACACAGAGACTCTCTTACCACAGCGAGACACACTTATCACAGAGAGACACACATACCACAGACATATTTACCACAGAAATATACTTACCACAGAGATACACTTACCATAGAGACATACTTACCACAGAGATACATTTACCACAGACACATTTACCACAGAGATACACTTACCACAGAGACATACTTACCACAGAGATACACTTACCACAGAGACACATTTATCCAAGAGACACCATAGAGAGACAAACTTAACACATAGAGACACCCTTACCACAGCGAGATACACTTATCACAGAGAGACACACATACCACAGAGACACAAATATACTTACCACAGAGAGACGTTCCTACCACAAAGATACACTTTCCACACAGACACATTCACCACAGAGACACACTTACCACAGATACACATTTACCACAGAGATACACTTACCACAGAGACACGTTTACCACAGAGAGACGCGCTTGCCACAGAGAGACACACTTACCACAGAGATACACTAACCACAGAGACACATTTACCACAGAATGACGCACTTACCACAGAGAGACGTGCTTACCACAGAGAGACACACTTATCCATGAAACACCACAGAGACAAACATATCACACACAGACACCCTAAGCATTTGGAGACATACCAAATAGAGACACACTTACCACTGAGAAAAATATTCCAGAGTCCGTAAAGGTTCATATACATAGTTCTTTTTGTCCACCTCCGTTTTGTCCACGTATATAACGCCACAATCGTCCTCGCTTTGATCGGAGCCAGAAGAGATGCCGACACAAATACAAAAGAGGATGGCTAACCCAAGTGGTGATGTCTGATATGAAAGATTAAGGTTAGAGTTCCGAAACATACATAAGTAGAGGCTAGTTATGAAGTATACCTAAGACAAAACTATTAAATTTTATTTCACGACAAGATGATAAAGAAAAAGTAGACATAACTTAAATCCCCTATAACGCAATAATGATAGTAAATTATTGTTTTTAATCATTGCATGATATACAACTAATTCTGTTCGTATATATGTATTTATATATATATCATTATTACTCCTTATATATGTCGAGATGTCCTTCAAGAGTGTTTAAATATTTTGAAATAAATTCAATGTACTTCAAGTAACATTGTCTATTCTCAAGCAGTTGACTCTGTGTGAGTGGAGGTGGTGGTGTGTGCGTGTGTGTGTTAATTTCATGATGACCCTGTGCCATTTAAATTGAATCCTCATCCATAATATTTACCACAGCGGCATGAATACAACATCTTAAAAAAAAAATACTTCGTATTGCACTTTCGCGTAATTGGCCAGATATGTGTAAAACAGATCTGATTGGCTGAAATTACGCGACATCACAGAACACTAGCACGAGCACATTTTTACGTAATGTTTTAAAGAAATACCTGCTCACTTATTACATTTTCCATTATATCCTCATCACATTAAACTTAGAAAAAGGTTTTATATTGAGCATCTTTAAATGTATACTTCTAGATACACAGCAAGCTAAATCATACCTGCACTATGTACTTCATCGTTGTTCAATATGTCACTTTCTTGCTGTAGATAGATTGACACGTAGATTTCAGCAGATTAACGCCAAGATAAACAAAACGAATGCCATGTAGATTTCAGGAGACATCATGGAAAAAGTACAGCCCACTTGCCAACCTGTTTATGATTCTATATTTGTGTTTGAAATTATTTTATCCGTTCAAACTGTTTGTATTGAGAAGTCATTGTTTTAAATCATGCCTTAGGTACGTACTATCTATACTCGTTTGATGTCTTTAAAAGTTCAATGTATTTTGTATGTACTTGCCGAGAGAGAAGTTTGAAGAAGTGTAATGATCACTTTAAAGGTAATTATTGTTGTTTTTTTGTATATTAAGAGGTAGTTACGAAACCGAACACGCCTCAGGGCGCTCCGCATTTGTAAACACATTTTCCTTTTACTTGTATCAAAGGATATGTAACGCTTCAAGGTTATAGTGACTCTAGATAATCTTACTTCTAAATGGATCGTGTGTTATAAAAACTATAATGACTAAAGAACACATTTGGCATAAATACATTTTTCTTAACAAACTAGCCAAAATGAAAAGTACGTTTTCTCTCGCATCTCAAATTAGACCAAGTCCGCGTCGCACGCCGATTAAGAGCGACAAATAATTCTTGTTTGATTTAATTTGATCTGTTGCATCAAATCATACAAAGGGATGGGGCAAAGATATCAAACTTATATTAAGCCTTTCCCCAACAATATTTAACATTTTTTGAAAATTATTAATTCTAGTTATAATATTTATTTTATGTATCAACAATATTATTATTATTTTTTTTATTACATACTTAACGGCCCGTCAACACATAAAAGGCCATAAGGGCCATCAAACAGTAAAACACACAGCGATCCAAAAGGAAATAACATTAAACAAACCAAAAGGTAAAAGACAAATGTTAAAAACCTTAAATGGGTATGTTAACACAAACGATTAAAACGGAACGTCATAGTCTATTATATAGACCAACATCTTTCAGATAATGTAGAATTTTACAGATCTCAACAGTTTCAAAAAGGGATTTTGGACATGTAATGTTACGATAAAAACGTTCTCGAGTAGACAGAGGGTCACTACAGTCCAATAAAAAATGCTTAACGGTGAATGGCTCATCACATCTTATGCACCAAGGATTATCTTCGCCTTTCAACATATATAAATGTGTAATGTATCAACAAGACATCTTTTGTAACGGACAAAAAAAACGTCCTGAGTTGCTGTATGGAAGATGGTGATCAAAATATCAAAAATGTTTTATATCAACCATGTAGATATATTTTTTAGATATATATATAGAGAGAGAGGGGGGTTGAGATTGCATAAATATTTCTCGTCGACTAAAAGGCTAAAAGCATTTATCATACTCATTACCATATCTATATACATGTATAACCAAAAATGTTCAATGATAAAAAAACTGTTTCAATATCATATCAGAACATGTGGTCATTTAGAATTTGAATGTACGCCGTTTTCCTTTTTCTCTTTATATGTGTATATCTCTGTAAATCTCTGTCAAAAAATTCTACATTTCTAAAAACAATAACGGCATCACACAAACTCTACACATCAAATGTTACGCGCGGAATTTCAATCTCAGCAATATCACAACCCAAGTACATCCTTTACATTACAGATACAGCGATATAAATCCCGCGTGTAGCACCTCTATTTCATTACTGCTTTGACTTTTATCATGGGTTCAGTTCCCGATGATAAACTTTGATGAAATTCAAAGGATATAACATTAACGTTTGGGTTTGTTTCAATTCTCATACTAATTTTACGGTGACGATAAGCCACCTTGAATTACGGATTTGCTGGCCATATGACTAACCCTGATTATACTTGATGGGAGGTCGATCAATCGGTGCTGACCAGTTGGGGAAATGGTCTTCCATAACTATCCCTTGCTGTTGTAACATCTACACTGCCATATTGCCGATCCTCCAAGTAAATAAAAACAACACAAAAACCAAATGTAAAAGAAAACAAAAAGAACACAGCACATATCAACAGAATAACCATTTAAACTAAAAGCACACAAAGGATAAGCGTCTATTGCTTTCTTATCAACCCAATGAAATAACACCTGTTTTTATCAATAAATGGGGAATTTGCTGTAGGAAAACTGAAATCAGCTTGGTCGAAAGTTGTCTTTGTAGGTCTCGTCGTAGGAAAAGATCGATTTAAGCAGTTAATCAGCGAAAAACTATTCTTCATGACTTTAAAATTGCCAGCCTTTCCAATGCAATTCAAGTGTTAGATCTTTCCGATTTCCATATTAAGAATTTCCCATTTCTGTATGATAATATTTCTACTTTTTTTTTAAAATAATTCTATTTCCGTGCGTGTTAACGCCTGCTAACAGATGAAATAACAAGACAGGTTTTCGCCGCAAAAATGCCAGTGAATGTAGGCTAAGGGAGAGTTTGGTGTTCACCACTATGATCTCATCATGGCATTTCTCTGTGTACGATATAAAGCTAGATGTTTATGATGACCGTTAGTATATTATGTTGTTAACCTTTTTTTCAGAACGCATCACTTCTCACATGCATTGACTTAGCTGTATTTGACTTTTACTCTCTCGGAACGTCTAGACTTTCTTTACTTGGACTTTTGAAAGGGTCTCCATATATGTATTTTCTTTGTTTCTGTTTTGCCGTCGTTTCATCACTTTTTAATCTAAATCAGCTTGACGTATACCCAACTTATAAATATATTGATATCTATTGTTTTGACACAAGTACGTCTATCGTTTTGTGAACCAATTCTATGTACATGTTTACCGCACACATCTATTCTGCATTCAAAACAACATTTCCCGTGTCCACACTCTCACACAAGTAGTTTTCAATGTCATATAGAGTTTAATATAAGAAGGTACATTTCTATTGGTCGATTACCGATTAATCATAATGAATTACTAATATGTCACTTCAGTTTTTTTTGTCTTAATAAGGTGACGAATATGTCAAGTGACATAACAGCTGGTGTAATGCCATTTGCGAACACAAACCATGAAAACAATGACTGGGTTAAGAAGAAGGATTTCACACAGTGTGTGCAATAAACTGTGTTTGAAACACTTATCAGCAGAAAGAGATGGCAAAACAAATATATTCTAATGAGAAAGTTAATGTTACTCGTTTTAAATCTTATTACGTATTCCACAAGAAAAATTAAATTGATACTATCTGTGAATATTATATTTGCAGACATTGCTTAAAGTGTATTAAATATTTCTAATCCTTATCTTATCCAATGTACCTGTCTTACACTAAAAACATAACGCATGATCGATGTGAATACAAGTTAAACAGGCATTACTGATGTTGTTTCTCAAAGACCCTGAATTACCGGTTTTTAGTTCGATCTTTGAAATGCAATTACACTATTTCATTTTCTAACTTCGAGTTATCTCCCTTATACCATTAGGTTTGGAGAAGGAATGGGTAGGGGAAGGAAAAAGAGAATGCATTGTTTCCGATTTTTATTCAGTTATCTGATTGATATGGTTCAGGCACACATATAGGAAAATGAGGTTAATATGAGTTTACAAGTTCTCTTTGTCTTGAATCGGTTACAACATCAGGAAAAGTCGAATTTCACTGATTTAGTCAAAAGGGAATCAAATGCGAGTTCTGAAAATAAAAAAAAAAATAGTCGATATTTCATAATGCATCGATATGTAGGTATGTAGTAAAACCGTTACATAAAAGCAAGCATATTCTTAAAACATATAAATGTACATGTATTTATAAAAAAAAAATCGTTGCCACGGTGATATAAACAAGAGGCCAAATTGGCTCGTATCTCTCTCCCCTATACAATGTAAAAAAAGAAATAGATAAAAAAAAAATCTAAAACCTGTCAATTATTATGATTCTTTGAGCTGAAGTTGTCAGGGTTTTTTTCTCATAAATTTAGCCAATTTGACAATAGATTAAGGTTATTTCTGTCCACAAACGTTGTTGGGCTTCAACCAACGAACATAACAGCCAAATATCATGATTCTAGGTCTCATGGTTATTACGGATTGGTCGTTTTAAGGGAATCTAACGCCATAAAGACGCATGATAGACGTCGCACAATGGTATATGAGCCAAGTAAGCCGAGCAGGTTATTCAATAAGAAACCCTTATCTGTTATATATATGTCCTTTTCTAACGACGTCCTAATTAGGAACATAGCAAACAGCTACAACCGATAAACTATACTTTCGTTTGCTACCAACCTACTTGATTTTCGTACATTGAGTTTTATCATTATTTTGAATAAGCATAATTGTTTGATAGAGCAAAAATCACTTTCAAGCAATACTTCTATAATACGAAGACTGTCGTAATAGAATATCATATTCAGAAACCTTTACAATATCTCATAGTCTGATGGCAGACAGGACATATTATCTCTTATATAGCATTCAAAGTCACGAAATACAACACATTCAGCAGGCAGAGTATGTTTATGTTTTCATAATTGTGGGATAGGCTGAATTTTCCGTCATAATTGTGGGATAGGCTGCACTTTCCGTCATAATTGTGGGATAGACTGCACTTTCCGGTATAATTGTGGGATAGGCTGCACTTTCCGTCATGATTGTGGGATAGGCTGCACTTTCCGTCATAGTTGTGGGATAGGCTGCACTTTCCGTCATGATTGTGGGATAGGCTGCACTTTCCGTCATTATTACAATATTATACAATTTACTATGAATTTACCCTTTCCGGCAGTTAAGGCCTATATGCCTAAACGTATACAAATTTTCGATTAGGTAACATGATGGTATTCTAGAGGTGAATTATTATACAAAATATGCCAGTACAGTTTTCCTAATTTTTTTCTCTCTCGGGAATTTCATTTATATAATTTATAAAAATTCTATCATATAGATCATTTCAATGCCATGGAAATGCGTTTAATCTTAGTTTGCCAAGAACAAAAATATTGATTACTCCAAAAGTTCGAACTGCGCATTTGTGGTTTTCTCGGTTTTTTTCACTTTTGCCTCCACGGATAGCTCTGTGCCACCAAACTTAAGTCTTGCCGATACTACTCGGTCCGATGCAGGGACATCCATTGGAAGATCCACCAGCATCTTTCCGATATATGTACAATTATCAGTCTCACAGTACTTAAGCTCATCTTTCTCGGATATGTAAACTCTCAAGACCATTTTCGTAGCTTCATCAGTCAACGGGTGATAATCTTGAGGCTCGGTTGCTTCCCCTATGTCAACTGACTGTCCTCTAGCAACATGCTTGCTAAACCGATCATCACAATACAATTTCCCTTTTACTGTTGATTTCTTATTCTCTGGATCACCCTGCCTGAACTCTTCTGACACTTGAATACCGTAAGTGTGTTTCATCACACGCGTAGAAATTACTTTAGTGTTAAATCCGAATAGCACTGCTCCTTTCAGGACCGACAATCCAGCATCCTGGGGAATTACGATTTTCTTCGAGTGACCGAATCTTTCTTTCACTGCATGTCGTAGCATTGGAGACTCGGAAAACCCTCCAACCATCAGAATAACAGATGTTCCAGCCGCGTTTTCTTCATCAAAAATTCGTTCGACGTGTTCTACGATCACCTCGCATGTAGTTTCGAACAATGCCTTTGCTTCAGAGGCATCGACTCTGATTTTGTCGCCGATCCATGCAATTTTTCTTCCTTTTCGTCCCTGCGACAAGGATTCGCGTAGCCCCTCCCCTTTCATGTCCTGGTAGACCTCATTAAGAGCTATTGGGACTTTGAATGTGACTTTTTGGTCGAGTTCCGGCGTGATAGTTCGCTTCTTGATTTCGAATTCACGAACAATATCTAAGTAGGAATCTCTATGGTTTAATTTAAATGCGTCCCATACTTCGCCGCCAACCAAGTCTATGAGAAACTGTTCATATGCCTCGTCTACTCTGGTTCCTCCCCAGTCTCCGCCGTTCGCCATATATACCTGGTGGAGAGATCCGTCGCTCTGAACCTGTTGTACAGTGATATCTACTGTTCCACCTAAAACCAAAGAAAGTATATGTGGACAACAAGTTAACTATCATCTAACAAATAGTTTTCATTTTCACAAAATGCTATATATTTTTTCTCTTTTAATAAACAAGCCCATGATATTATCTTTTATGCTGTAACGTATGACCCTACAATTTTAAAGACGATATTCAAAAATATTTTTCTTCAATACAGGTCAAAATCGGTTGATATTGGGTTACTGAAAAATGGTTAATGTATTAAAATCAGCTATTCTTATATATTTACATGTATCGTTCATTAGCCAGATTTCCGTGATGAATATCAAAGATATACAGAATGTATGTAAACTATAACAAAAGACAATGTATTGTCTTTACAACGGCAAAGACAAGCGGACACTAATTGTCCGAAATCACATCGGACACTCACCCCCTGCGTCCAGCACCAAATACTTGGTACCAGGACATATTGCTTCTAAGCCAGCAATGTTTTCGTTTTCTCTGTGTTGTTCCTGTCCACGCTTTCCTATCGGAATGTGCTTGCAGTATATCGATGCCGCCTCCGGCTCCAGAGCTATGTCAAGATGGTCAGATCTGATGCCGGCCTAATGAACAAGTACATTTTATAAGCGGTTATTATACACTCAATCAATGTGTGTTAAAATGATTTGAGCAACAATTGTTTGTAATACGCCTATGTCGTTCTAGTTCGAAACATTTAAACAAAAACAAACAAAAAGACATTGTGTCACTGTTTGTGCAGACTTCATTATGTCATTTCAGTAATGTTCATAATAATCTTAAATATTTCAGCGATGCCGAAAATCTTCTTTCAGTCAAATGACGAATTATTTAGAATTAAGCTTGGTAACTTATGAAACAGATAAGGTAATGCATTATTTGCTATTACGTAATTTCCAGAGAAAGAGTTCCTTTTGAACCCCCACCCAAAATGACTACCAGTAGGTTATAATAAGTATCTAAAAGGGTTTCTTGTAAGGGGTACCAAGAAAAATTGGGGCATGGTCTTAAAATCAACCCTTTCAGACACTTGTACTATATTTACCAGGTATAATAACCCATTGGTAGCCACTTTGGGTTGGGGGAAGGGGGGGGGGGGGTCAAAAGGATCCAGATGATTGCTAATTTTTTCACGGTACATTAGACACGCTTTAAGGAAGCCCCTATCTTTAGCGTACCAAACAACAACAACAACAACAATAAAAAAAGTCTGCGACGTGTAGGTGACCGTTCAGTCAACTGGATATCATACTACGAAAACAAAACAAAAAACACCCACAAACAAGAGACAAACAACAAAAAGAAAGTTCAAAGGAGGGGAAATGGTGAAGAGAAATGACCAAAACGAAATAACGGAAGCCAGTTGTACGAGATATCATGTCCTCTGTCTGTACCTGGCATCCAAAAAAGGAAAACAATATCATACATATCATAGGCAATCATACTTGTTTGGCAGCTTCTCTCATAAATTGCTTGGCTTTATCAGACCAGATGGCTGGAACAGTAAGAACCCAATGGACCTCCTCGTCTTTGATACCTTCACTGATTGATCGCTCATGCATTGCACGAAGCATGTGTCCACGTAGGTAATGGATGATCGCCGTAAATACATCCATGGCATTCATAATATTACCCTTGTCATCCTCGAGTGTGCACTGGCGAGAAATATTCTAAAACGAGTACAAACGTTAAGAAAAATTTAATTAGGATGTATTTATTCATAAGATAAAATATCAAATATTACTACATATATAGTGGTGGAAGGCGAATGTGACCGGGGACGAACATGTATTACTGTATCAGCGATCTATATTATATTAGATATAATTTATTAATGACAATCTTATGTTTATTGTAGGTCTACGAGAGTATCAGTCAGATACTACGCAACTCATTGACATAGTATGCTTTCTATATTCTAATAGGATATATTGTGCAAACACATGCATTCTCAGTTATATTTACGGCCAATAAAAACATGGCAACAGAGATATTCATACTGACACGTGTACAGGCAAGGGGAAGTTAAATCGACAGTACATATTCGCAATGACACGTATACAAGTAATACATGTACACATAATTCCAGCGACACGTGTACAGGTGACACCTGTACTCATATTTCCAATGACGCATGTACACATATTCCAATGAAACCTAATCAGGTGACATATGTACACATAATTCAGTGACACATATTCAAGTGACACATGTATACATATTTCACGTGACCCGTGTACAGTTGACTTGAAAACACACAGTGACACATGTACAGGTGACACCTGTATTCATATTTCAAGTGACACGTGCACACATGAAAAATAAGCTGACGATATAGGTGTTCCAATGACTCATTTGCAAATGATTCTGAAATAATCCTTGTGTGTATTGGTATATGCATGTTTCACAGATCCTGGATATTTCACAGGTAAAAAGAAAATCGAAATGAAATAAACTAATACATTATACATTATCTGGCGATTTTTGAGACTAATATTAAATTTCCTATTTCAGTATCTAATATACTGTATTTTATCAGAAACCCTGTGGGTTCTCGTCCTGTGGAGGGATACAAACTACACTGAAGGAAAAATCGTGCATACGATACTTGTTTTAAATGTATGAAAATATTACCGGGTTCTTATACAGCATCATCTTGAACCGCCGGAAGTAGTACCAGTCGTGGAACTCATTGTCATTGGTTAGGTCAGCATACTTGTCTTCAGCATCGAACCCAAAGGAATGGAACTTCTTATCTGGGGTGAAAAGTGCGCATGTCGAAGTTTTAAGAGAGACTCCAACGCTTGATCCACTGTTCCAGATGTTTCCTTGGATGCGGAGTGCGTCGTTCGCACAATCATTTCGGAATGCGAAAGCATATCCGGAATAAGTGGTGCCAAAATCTATAGCGGCTACTATAATCTTTTCAACGTCATCTTCCTCTAAATATGATGCCATGGTGAAAAGCTCCTGTGGTTTGATAAAATAGTTATTTAATGTATATAACTAGAGTGCTCATTAGTCCAACAATAATGATTTAAATATAGATACATTGGGCATAGCCTAGTTCACTGTCACTTAGCAACACCTTGTTAACCCCACATTGGCTTTTTATTATAACTACTGAAAAAAAATTGTTTTTTGTTCATTTGATGGTTTATTTAACTGTAAGATATGTTTTTAATTTCATAAATAGATACAAAGTAACTCTCTCTGTAAGGGTGGCCTTTTTCATTCATATTCATTGTTGTGTCGTTTCTTGTCGTAGTGTGCAGATACATAAATATAGATACATTGTGCATTGCCTAGTTCACTGTCACTTAGCAACACCATCGGTCTACCAAATAAACACGGCATTGAAGAAAACGTTAGGTGTTTAAATGAATTGATCGAAAAACAAACAAACGAAAAAGCTTTAAACTGGTATCCAGTGGAAATAAAAAAACTTGTTTGGAAGCATTGTACATTATAACATGTTTTTTTTTCCGAACAGTATATCTTATCAGACGTCATACATATTTAAGTATCTATTATAGTAATGGGGATATCAGACTATTCAAGGCACACAGTGATCTGTAACAATATTTCTGGGTAATGAGGGTTTGTATAGTACACTATAACTGGTAAAGAGGTCCAACGAAATGCTAGAGGAATATTCATCATCCTCAGAAGATATTCGTACAAATAATGTTCAATTTTTACATCTTTAGTATCAAATTATCTGAAATACATAACCTACACCGAAATACTGCACACTAAACTTACACGCCTGTCGGTCACTGTGAAGTGAAAGAAGACCGGCGAATTCTCCGTTAGGGCTATATATCTGTTTGCTGAAACCAAGGTCAATTAATATAAATCAAGCTAACTATAGCACTATCGTATTTAGTTGGTTCCCTTTACTAGACTATTATAAATGTAGTATACTATACAATCCGCCATCTCTAGAGACATTGTTACAAGCCCCTGTGATGGCACACAACGTGTATAAACACGCAGACTACATAATGTATTCAATATACAAAACGAAAGTAGATACTGCATACGGAAGTTAAAAAATAGAAATTCTAAGATGTAGAAGAAATGATACTATTTTCAATATGTTATGTTCGTCGAATCTTACTTTTCTCATTCACATTTTCTAGTTTCGTTTATTTTATTCATCTCTATTAATTCATATGCTTATTTATACACATGTGTACGTGTGGAAGCTAGGACGAGCATCGCCATTGATTTCCTATCGTTTTATTCGAGGTTGTTTACCGGGAGCAGAAATCTCACACACTTTAATGATATGTTGCACAAACTGTTACTCACCCGTCCCAGAAAACTGTGTACACGCCTGTCTCCCACTATTCAAAGTGAATCCTTCCCTTTTAAATTCCTGATTTGACAATTCACTTCCCAGTTGCCCAGGTATACGTCATCACAATGTCGGGTATCGGGAATAAATTGACAGTTGCACGCCTCAGAGGACAGCGTTTTAACTTCCCACTTTCGATTTATATATACATTACACAGCTAATATCCCGAATATCGTTTCTGTCCGACCAGGGCTGTTTTTAATTTTCCGTCTGTGCTTACTTGTATCATATGTTGCACTGTGTAATTAAATTCGAGGTTGATATTCTATGTGCAGGTTAAGAATGGATTTTTCGAAATTTCATTTTGTAAGTTGTGTATGTGATGAAACTACGATAGAGGGTATGAATTCAAGTTACATATGTACACATATGTAAGTTACTTCAGTTATCCGATATAACTTCGATGCAAAGGCCACCCAACAAAAAATGAGTAGTTACACACAACGTACATATACTTAATGATCGATGTACGTATGTACGCAATGAAAACATCTTCCATACCTGAATATAAGAGAGATATTTAATTAAGATAGATACCTGATATATATAAAGGGATTCTGTGTGTAGATAATGGTGGTAGGGATTCTGTACTGTTGTGAAAGTATACATAATTCTATAGAATATATATATAGCACAACAACGAAATAGTACTGATTACCATCAGCAGACTTCCTTGTATGTGAATCCTATCCGTCACCAAAATCTTCTACTCCCCTCGGTTGCATTCGAAAATGTCTCACATAAATGTAGGCTGTAGCAGTTGTGTTTAAGGTAGACCGATCGTTATATCTATAAAACATGGTATTGTTTTAGGCAGACCGATCATTATATCTATAAAACATTGTATTGTTTTAGGCAGACCGATCATTATATCTATAAAACATTGTATTGTTTTAGGCAGACCGATCATTATATCTATAAAACATTGTATTGTTTTAGGCAGACCGATCATTATATCTATAAAACATTGTATTGTTTTAGGCAGACCGATCATTATATCTATAAAACATTGTATTGTTGATCTTACTAAATCCATTTACAACATTAAACTACCTAGCCCTAGTCCTAATGATTCACATCTCACATCCCCTATCCTTATGACTGACTGCTGAATCCTTGTTCTGCTTGTAGTATTTACCATGTTGTCACTTTCCCGACTCGCCTTGGATCTTATCGGGGTGTGCATATGATATGTAATTATCTCAATAATGCTTTTCAATTTCCAATTTGCCCTGCAGACTTAGACTTCTGCATGGTTTGAAAAAAAATAATCATGCGTCGCTTCTCCAAGGAAGACTTCCAAAAGTATAAGTGCTCTTGTAACACCGGATAAGTACGTTTCATCAGATGTGAGGATCAAGGTTGTGGTGTGAGATATATGTGTTGACGAAAAGAAAGATGCGTGTGATCGCTGATATTGACATTGTGCGTGTTTGTGTTTTTTCCTGTACTTTGTGAGAATACAGTAGATTACAATGAATTTGATTGTAGACAACTTATGAGTTCCTCTTAGGTACCAAATTACAGGGGATCATGCTCATCAATACTTGGAATATTCACTTGCTTTATTTCAATACTGACATTTTAGTATCTAAAATCTAAATTCAATCATCTGTCAATCACTGTTGTTTTTTTTTTCAACTCGATGGAGGAATCTTCAACAGTTCAGTATTTTGTACAATACTTTAAATATGAAATTACATTCCACTCTCCAAGCCCGTCCTGTTTCAGTGGTTATACCGGACCAATATAGGGAGCGCTCCCTTATTTGGCAATAAGAATTGGGATACGTTAAAAGGTTACGATACACAAGTCTGTTTATTCTAAAATCCCACTTGAATGCACTGTGTCCGAGGGTAATTGTTGAGAAAACACGAAATTTATCCATCAGAACGAGTCTATGAATTACTGAAACTCCAGAGTGTTGTGTGATCGGTCTGTATCTGTTGGTCTTCAGTGGAATCTAATGGATATTGCAATGGGTATCATTCCTTTCAGAAAACAATTCCCCCATCCACACATGTACCTCTTTTACCAATATTTTCTAAAATAGAACGTAATAGTTTCATTTCTTCAAACAACACAAGTGGTGTGATTTTTCCAATTCGAACTATATTTTGCCTTGTCTGATTTACTTTAACCGAATTGTTACAATATATAATTAATGACCGTCTGACTGTGTAAAAGTCACTGTCCATATAGATCCCTACGAGTAGACATTTTGGATTGAACATCTACAAATGTGTAGACAACGTTCTACGATTTTGATGGCAACAATTCGACGAAACCATATAAAATGTTTGTTAAATACTTACACTGTAGTCTGTACTTTTACCCAATATTCATATTTCACATTGGATTAATAATATCAATTATATAAGATGTAATTAAGTTCGTTACTCTCAGATTATGTGAAAGTTTATCATTATTATTATTATTATTATTATTATTTATTATTATTAATATTACCCTTTAAGAACATTTACCGTAAGGGTAATCATTAGTTGGTCTGAACTAGGAGAGGGAGATGCAGTAACCCATAAGTATGGGATTAATACAGAGAAATTAGGGAGATGCAACAACCCATAAGTATGGGATTAATACAGAGAAATTAGGGAGATGCAACAACCCATAAGTATGGGATTAATACAGAGAATTGATTGGTACTGTTTTATAATTAACACTATGTAAGCTGAATCCCATTACACGTGTAATGCACGGGCATGCATTTCATGGATATCATTCGCTAATTTAACTGACATTCTAAGTTTGCCATGACGACTTGAACGTAAATTCGACATCAAAGACTTAGATTGCGTTTGTTATTTCGATATAAAGAAAATATTGCACATTTTTCTTTAAATTTCCCCTGTACTAGACAGGTAATTATGAAATCGGTAACATCTTATTATTTCATAAGTATAGCATTGTAGAATTTCATATAAGGGCAGTATATATGCAGTAATAAACTGCAGCTGACAGAGTTTCTATTCTAGGAGACGAAACTCGGCATGTGTTGTCTGATTCGTAGCCATGACTGTGGCACGTACAGACAGCTCCGTTCCCCCGAACTTCATGTTGACTTTCACGCCACGGTCAGATGTAGGCACGTCCATTGGAAGACAAACTAGCAATTGTCCTATATATGAACACAGTTCTGTATCACAATACTCTGGGTCATACTTGTCTGTTATATACACTTTAACAGCCATTTCCTCCCTGTCGTCCAAAGGATGATAGTCTATTGTCTGTGTTTCTTCATCAATACGTACGGACTGACCTTTCTTTACATGCTTGGAGAACCGGTCTTCGCAGTACAGTTTACCTTTAACCATAGTTTTAGTAATGTCAGGGTCCAGATTTTTCCTGAACAGAGAAGATGATTGTATACCATACGTGTGTTTCATTACACGAAGAGATACAACCCGAGTATCAAACCCGAACAGAACTGCTCCCTTTAAGACTGAAAGCCCCGCCTCTTCTGGAATTATCACCCTTTTCGTGTGACCGAATCTCTCTTTGATAGCATTGCTTAGCATTGGAGACTCAGAAAACCCTCCAACCATCAGAATATCGGATGTTCCAGCCGTTTCCTCCTTATCAAGAATTCGTTCGACATGCGCTACAATCAATGCACACGTTGTTTCGAAAAGTTTCTTTGCTTCTGTGACATCGACACGCAACCTGTCACCTTTCCAGATAAGTTTTCGGTTTCTGTGATGACCCTGTGTGGTACTGAGTGGGCTATTTTTCATTTCTTCATAAACGTCACGGAGAACAGGTGGAACAGTAAAGGTTATCCTATTTTCAATATCTGGAGATATAGTGCGCTTCTTTGTTTCGAATTCACGGAAAATATCAATATAGGAATCCATGTATTTAGCTTTGAATGCCTCCCAAATGTTCTGACCTACAAGCTCTTCTAAAAATGCCTCATACGCCTCGTCCACTTTGGTCCCTCCCCAATCTCCTCCGTTTGCCATATACACCTGATGGAGAGTACCATTCTCTTGAACCCTCTGAACGGTGATGTCAATTGTGCCACCTGAAATTGAAATGAAAGTGGTATGAAAGTAGAGTGGCTATAACGACCCGATTGTTGTAAGAAATCCAGTCATAAGCAGGTTTAGCGGCTTCTGTCGTCAACTTTCACGGCTCCTTGAGTTAAATTTGACTTCTTATATCATACAGGCCGTAACACCGTCAAAGTGAGGAAATTGGACACAGATTGTACACCTTAGTCATGACTTTGTTAATGAACTAGCCTCTAGTGAATAAATGGCGGCTCTTACGGAAGAAATTGGTCTTGAATTTGCCAATAATTAGATTTACAGTCCATATTTTGTAAAAGTAAAAATAAATATTAGCATCTCGGATTTGTTTTCTATTCTGGTGAGTTACATTCCTAGTGACATAAATATATGGGGTTCTTTGGGTTTGGTATCCACGGCAACTTTCTATTAGCCTAACATATCCTAACACCACAGGTAATTACGACATTCTTACTAATCAATGGCCAATCAACAGATGTTATGGAGGTTTATGACCGATTTCCTTATTAGTGTAAACATAACCATTTATCTATAAGAAAGTCACGGAAGACCGAAAATGTCAGTCAGTAGGATATATGTATATATCTCAGTCAGCAATAGTCTATGATTCTGTGTCCATAGTTACAGGATAATGTCACTCTCATATCATATATGAATAAAATATTCCAATGCTAATTAACTGTAACTGAAAAGAGTTCTCCACAACCAATCCGCTGTTTTTCTTGGACCTTCCATATGGAGACATTAGAGAACTATGTTATTCCCAACAAATACATACCTGTCCGATTCCACATACGTTTGTTCACAGAAAATACAAATCTTCATCGTTTTGTAAGTTTGTAGAGCATGTGTACTGTACAACATGTGTTACCACGAAGGGAAGGGAACCTTGAGCAAGCGGGCTACACTTGCATAAGGTTCACTCCCCTTAAATAGGCTATACAAGCAACAACGTAGACAATCAGTTGCTCAGTAAAATATTAAATTAAGTCAATAGTTTAAGAGTATACGTACCGCCTGCGTCCAGTACCAAGTATTTGGTACCAGGACACATCGCCTCTAAGCCAACACCTTCTGCGCCATGCGTCTCCTGCCGCTCTCTCCTGCTCACAGATATGTGCTTACAGTATATAGATGCAGCCTCTGGCTCCAAGGCAATATCAAGCTGATCAGAATGTATTCCAGCCTGAAAAAAATGTTCAGCTTGTATTCTTTTAAATTTCAAACCAAGACGCTGTCGTGAATTGCACATTGGTGAGTAACACACAAAAAGATGAAATCACGAAGGTCAGTTTCATTAATTTTTGGCAATATTGTATATGATTCTTCTGAAATTGTATTAAGGGGTGTTGTTCACGCCAGTGCCTTTGTTTTTTCAGTTATGGCCTATGTTTCTATCTACAACATTGAAAGTCTTGCACTTTGCTATAATGTACTCTTATCTTTTAAAAAAAATCGAATGAATCGTTATTATTTACAACGTAAAGCTGTTCACATGATTTAATTCAAACCAAAAAAAAGAAGTACCTTCTTCGCTGCCTCTCTCATGAACTGTTTGGCCTGGTCAGACCAGATGGCGGGGACAGTCAGTACCCAGTTAATTTCATTCTCTTTTATTCCAACATTTGCGACACGTTCGTTGATGTTTCTCAGTGTTTCTTGCCGTAGATAGCTAATAATTGCCGAGAACACCTTTATCGCGTTCATAGATTTTCCTTTGTCGTCTTTAAGAATGGAATGCCAGGTAATATTCTGTAGAATATCAATAAGGTGGTTATGAAATGTATGTGATAAGGACAAAGTGTACATGCAGGTTAATACTTTAGAATTATTTATCAAAACAATACTTATACGGATGGATCATGAACTGAAGACTTTGAGGAACTATTCGACTGCAGTCAGCATTAGGATGCTTTTACACACCACTGACTGTATGCACCACTCGATCACCTGTCTTATGTAGCTAAAAGATATGACGAATATCAGACTACATCTAAAAATATATATACCTTTTTGGAACTCTCTGTTACCTCTGATTTTTTAATTTTTTTTTTTTTTTATGGAAGAAGCACAAATTGTCCACCATACCAAATTTGCTTTCTGTCCTGTTTACATGTTCAATGACGCACATTATTCAAACAGGACATGCACTTAGCAGTTTATGCTAAGATTGCTCATTACTTACAGGGTTGTTATAAAGCATCATCTTGAATCGGCGAAAGTAATACCAGTCTTGGTGCTCGTTTGTAAGCGTCAACTCCGCGTATCTGTTCTCAGCGTCGTATCCAAAAGAGTCGAACTTCCCTTGTGGATTGAAGAGTACACATGTTGGAGCTTTTTGGGAACATCCATTTTTAGACATGATACCATAGATCCGAAGACTATGGTGATCGGAAGAATAATCTTTCTGGAAGGCGAAAGCATATCCGGAATATGTTGTTCCAAAGTCAATGGCGGCGACTACCAGCTTCGTTTTACTGACCTCTTCTGCGCATGTTGCCATGGTGACGTTCTAAACTATGTTGAAGTATATCTCTTACTGATGTTTACCATTTCATTTTTTTCTGAGAAGTAAAATCGAAGCAGAAAAAATACGTTTATTCCTATCTTATACATTGGATTTTAACATTTTGATATCAAAATTGGTTTTATCGGAAGATCTATTTTATCACTTGTGTCTCAAGATTCTCGAATACTCATGTGTATGTGTTTACGTTGTTTGATATATGTCTTGTTTCACTGTGGCGTCAGGTGCAACCATACCTAGATTTTTCACCGTTGTCGTCATTAGAGTTAATAATATAGATATGCGTTGGTTGCTTTTACCTACCTTATGCCAACTAAAAAAACTTTCCTATCCATTAAATTACATGTAATTTGATGCTGTGTAGTCATAGATATTTCGGTATCATGCTATACTATATAATCGTGCATTGTTAAAACCTACTTTGAAAACAAATACGCAGTTTGAAAAAAAAAATCAAATCGCGTTGATTTTGGGACAAGCTCACCGCGCATTGACATTTTTCAGATCACGTCAAAAATTCAACGTTCTTTGTTATTTCAATTTCCTAAAAGAAAGGGTCAAGTTTACGTCCTATGATGGTTTTTCAAAGTTGTTTATGAAACATGATATTGTAGCCCACTGTAGGCACTGTTAAATCAATTTCCTTGTCTCTTAGGGGTAAATTATCTTGAAGTCTTTTTTTTATTAATTTATTGTTTATTACTTTTTGTAATCTTCAAAAGTCGCTAAGGTTAAGCCATCAGAATCTTATAAACAATGTTGTAGATGCAGACCAAGCCAAGACACTCCAATCCAATCAAACATGGATTATGCTAAATAACGTACAATGCGATCTACATAAATTTCATTGCGCACGGTACATGTATACTACGACACTTTCGTGACAAGGGTATGCTGATCAGTCGACCATTACGAACATTGTGTATTCGTAAAATGAACTCGCTTATATGTCGAAAAATAATCGAAATAGGATGTAGATGTTTTATTTTCGCATTTTTAAAGACTGCATATAACAGAGTTGTTCCCCGCCCCCGTTTCACACCCCTAATACTGTCACCACAAATTCCTGAAATGTTCAATATCGAAAACGAAAGTACACGATCAATTATGAGGTTTAGCTATCTTACCGTGTTTTCTGACAGTCACAAATCGTCACAGGATTACATTGTCATGATATCGAGCTCATCATCTCTGTTTGGGCACTGCTTGCAGGAGACGGACGTCAATGACATTGTCACTGGTGCATAGTTATAGTACGATGTAATTCCGGGTAGGTTAGTTTGTAATTCAAGTCATGTGGGTGTATCAGTTTTATCGGGTACACATACGTTTGACCTACATTCCGGTAACTTACGTGTGTACATACCTTACAGTTAGCCATGCAACACCATGTGTAAACAACCAAGACACACTTGATAAAATTAGACAGAAGTGTAATCGGATTCGTAACATTATAGCTGATCAGTGGAATGCTGTTGATAAAGTTTCTACAAAGAATGGGGACAAATTTGGGTTACAATTAGAATCTTTCTACATGTATATCACATACGTGGAAGGATGGCCATATTAACATCCAGCGCTTGGTTTTTACCTACGGTATTCTTGAACATTCAAGGTTAATCAATCTATTTATCTTCTGTTCATTTCGGTTCAGTTATTTTTAGTTTTGTCTCATTATCGTTAAAATCATTTTTATATAGGTACATATCTTTATTCCATAAGGTAGACTTTCATTAATTCTTAATCAGATATAAGTTTTTCGGGTTTTTATGCTTGTTCTTTACCTCCTTAAAATAGGAAATATTGTTTCTTTACTTTAACAAAACTCAGAACTGAACTGTTAGTAATATATATTCACTCTCTGAACATAAGGTTGAGCTCCTTCTGTAAAGCATTCCTGATTAAAAGTGTATTGTGATGGAAGTTAAAGATATGAAATCTAAAAAATACTGTATTTTGAAATGAAAAAAATGCAAGCGTCTATAAGACATAAATACTATGAAAAATATTGCAATAAAGACACACAAGATAATTAAAATGTCGCAAAACAGTTGTTTATCATCGAATGCATTATGCCGCCAAGAACCTTCAGTTTAGAATTTTGTTGGCAACTAAGAGAACAGGCGGCCAAAGTAACCATTTGAGAGAAGGAAAATGTTGCAGCAACTGGTAATTCAGCGATTTACAACGCATTACAAAAGTACTTAACAAGTTGTTCGCTTTAGATTTAAGGGATATGAAGTAAATCAGTCATGACAATTATTGTAATACAATCGTTACAAGTCATCTTAGTAAGATGTTTTCCTCCATTATGAATAAAAAAACCTGTGAATTTTATGGTATAGAAATTAAGTATTTTTGTATTTGTTTTAAGTAATGACGTATGTTTGAAAACAAAATACATAAATCAAGTTTTATTTTTGTAAACATGAATGTATATAGTGTAATTTGTATCTGATGTATAGTTGGTGTATTTTTTCATTTATTTATTTATTTATTTATTTATTTATTTTTTGACATAGTTTACTTGAATCCAACTCTGTGAAATTGACATACCCGAAGGCACCTGCGTGAGAGTTAGTTATGTAGAGATAAGGTTCTATATTCCCTAACAAAGTAAATAATTTACAGATTCTCATGAAAGCCAGATTAATTGGAAATGTAGCTATTTGTGGTACAGTCACATAGTCCTCTTGGATGCGATAGGACTTTCGTGTTGTCAGCTTTCCTCTTCACCACAAACATATCTATATGTGTGTACCATTGTCGTTTAGGTGTTAGGTACACAAAACATGCCACTCGGTCCCTGGGTAGATAAACACACAGAGAGATTAATGGGTGTGTGTCGTGAGCAGTAGGGTCTCTTCAAGCCCTGACCGTAAAAAAATAATGATCGAAACCAAACCTCTGCTGTTTGTTCTCCTCTTCTTATCCTAACTTAAGAAGTACTTTCTACTATATCGTCTTCTTAGAAGGACTGGACATGAAATTTAGTACAATCGATCGTTTTAGTGCTCAACTGATTTTCAAGAAAACAATTTGTCAGTTTTGTACTGCAATTTTGTTACCTTTAAAAGATAAAGTTTTGTTATTATTGTTGGGACGATAATGAATCTGATTGACTCTTTCAGAGATAAATATGATTGTTTGTTTGGGCGGTTATTAAACTGATTAACTCTTTAAGAGATAAATGTGATTGTTGTCGGGACAAATATAAAACTTATCAACTCTGTAACAGATAAATGTGATTGTTGTTGGAACGATAATAAAACTGGTTTGTATGTCATGATTTGTAATTGTTTACTAGAAACTGCTTTCCTTAATAAGATCATTCTGTCAAATAATGACAAAGCAAAACGTTTTGTCAGGGTTTGTGATAATAAGAAAATAGAACTTATGGTAAAACAATAAAAACTTCGAAGATCTGCGGTAGGTGTAAGATTATGTATAAACCCAATCTGAAAGTGAAACTTATCTGAAAATACAAATAGGATTAAGATTATTGTTTTCTGAAAAGATTCTAACATAACTGACGGTGAATACGGGACTAATACTGTCCTTGATTGATAAATTTGATATATTTGATAGTTGTGGTTAATTGTCGGGACGTTTTATTGAACTATATTGGAATTTCGACTTAAACTAAATTCACAAAGGTGTGTTAGGGATATTTCTTTTATTTCCTCTTCCGTGTATGTGTCGCTACTGCATTGAATCGTACATCAGAAATATTTTGTATTTGGAGATTCGTTAGAAGTTGGCTTGGTGTTTGGGAAACGAATGACGTTTCATGATAACTCCGACTGATCCATACAGCACGATCTGCCTATATAATTAAGATATTTGGTCAAAGTTTACACTATGTTGTTTATGCTAAATAAAACATACACAATAACATACAGTCGAACCTCGTTAACTTGTATAAATCGAAATCCCCATTTATTTCGAAGCATTTCGTTGGTCTCTGTCTCACTTTACCCAGAACATTCGGACTTGCTTAAATCGAATACTCGGTTATCTCGAAGTTTTCTCACCATGGTCCCGCCGAGGTCGAGATAACGAGCTGCGATCATTTAAAAATGGGCCTGCGATCTTCTGTTAGAAAATGGCATTGACGATGTAGCTACCAGCCAATGATCAATTATCATTACACATTATTGATCTGTGTACTTATATCTAGTCTACACATTAAACACTATGATATAAAAGCATGGTTTATACCGGTATGTACTAATTTGGATTTTCGCTCGCGCAAACCTTTGTCATATCCAAGTACTCTATAAGAAAAAGTATGGGAAACGTTTAAATGCTTAAACGTGTATGTTAATTTTATTAATATCAGACCACCTCTCATTGTTCACAATCTCGCCACTCGTACCTTACAAGTAATAACAACTAAATTATTATCAAATAATATCAAAAATTTAATAAATAGAAAAGCAAGCATCTGTTCAGAAAGCAACTCTATTATCTTCGATGACACATATGTTTACATTTAAAGCACAACGCGAGTGAAGCCATAATTAAAATAAGGACACATATGAACGCATACGAAGCGATGATCTGATATGCGGCAAAGAGGTACACTGTTCTGTCACACCAATTACTCGGCTCATGTAGAAGCTGTTGATAGTGGGGCTCCCAGATATCAAACACCCAAAACGTCCCCGCCACCAGCCAAGCGAACAGAAATGTCGTCAGCATCACATCCATCATTCTGAAGGTTCGTGACGCAAATGCTCCGTCGCCTTCATGCGCATCGTAAAACGAATCAAGTTCTTCATAACGTTTGCTTTGAATATTATGCCACACTGTTCCAATAATCTTTACCATGCCGAAACATCCACCGACCAATAAGTACACAGGAATCTTTCTTTGTCGCGGACATTCATTGAGGTATTTCACACCTATTTAAATGAAATGAATAAAGATAACAACAAGAATGAAAAGCTCAAGGATTGCAATTAATGCGGCTGCTCTATATGATACACGTTGTTGCTAAACAAGGTGCTGAATTACCCTTGCCGATAACACTTTCACATTTACTGATCAGACTGCCAATGAAACAATCCTAAAAAAATCTAAAGAAATCATCGGCCCTCCTGCATTAGAAAACCTCTAACATGTAGGTATGATTTTACACTATGAGAGTATCAAATTTGTCGTATATCTTTTGAAGTTAAAACATTTTTAATTAATAGGCAATTATATGTTTAGGCAAATTCCTGATTCATCATCACAGACGAAGATTGTCTTTCGAAGCATGGAATATGAATATTGTTACTAGTCACCTTGAGATTAGTTTATTTCAATTTTATTTATTTATCTATTCATTTTTTATTAATCTATTTATTTTTCGGGTTGTCTTTCTTTGACAACGATCCTGTGTACTACATCTACCCAAATATACCATTGATACAGGTTCTTGTACATAATATTTGAAAACATGCTTATGGCTGGTTAACTCTAAACATACTAATGATAAAACATTTCTAGGAAATGAATTGAAGCGGATGCTGTTGTGGGTAGTACTTATTGTTGATATTTCTAGGTAAATGTAGCAGGGAAAAAATATAAGATTTTTCTCGACCAGGATTATATTGTATGACCCTTCTCTGTAAGGACTTGAGTATTTGGTTTCTTTTAGTGTATAGCCACAAGGATAACATGCCGTGGTACCACATTACGTTGCCCTAGAATACTTTACTTACCGACGGAGAGCATGGTAATAGGTAGCGCCGTGGATATTCCGACAAGTACGGTTATGAAGGCTGAAAATGCCAAAAAAATAAATATGCATTACTGAGTATCTTTGATAAATAAAGACAATAAAATAATGTTAGGTTTATCAAACTGACCACCCAAGGCCTCCAGAACATACAGGTTCGACAGATCAGGATGGCCATTTTACCTATTTATTGTTTGTACTAACATCTCTTATTGTGATGTATAGAAAAAATACCACGTGTCTTCACCTATCCTCTCCTAATATCATTCAACTCTGTGATAATGGTCCCACTTATATGGCATATCGACTGGACAACTTTAATATACCGGTGTTTGACACATTTATGTTTATCTCATGTACTAACGACAGGTAAATCAACCGGTTTGAGGTAATTATAACTTATCGTATGTTGGTTATTGTTAAACTTGTTAAACGGTGAGATAGAAAAGAACCACTCATCTTTTTTCTGATATTAACACTCTGAGTAAGATGTTTGCGTTCAGTAATCTGCATAAGTCTCATACTCGAAAAATTATGGATCATTTTCCTTTTATATCAATCAACTATAAGGTGACCAATCGAATTCATCCATGTTAAGCGCATGGCTGACTGTCTCACCTGTATGGCAAATAAGTCTGCCACTTCGACAAATAAAATCACATGCACCAGTAGCTTCGGCTTTGGCTTCCTGTATTTGGATGAATATAGCACCATAGTTTCCCTGTTCTGTGTCCACTGATTTACCTCTGGATGACCAGTCTAGTGTTGTTTTACACAGTTCTCGCTGATCGTCGAAAGACTGCAATAGTAAAACAATTCCTAGAACATACCTTAACACGTGCTAAAAATCAACAATTTAAAACTGACTTCTTTTTTTAAATCAACAGTTTCATTGGTCAGTGTAATAAAATCAGTCAACACAGTTCATGTGTAATATTGCATTGCCGTGAAGGATGTGAATATCGATGCTTTTACAATGCTTTTCACTCGCTATGTTGTTCCTTGCCATTAAAACAGCTACCTTGTTATGGACACAACACATTTTCTACTTGTGACTGAGATATCTTTATTTGGGGATGGGGGGGGGGGTTGTCAATGATTAAAAGCTATTACTTTTGCTTTTAGCATCTCAATTAGGATTGTGAAGGAACATATGTTTAGAGAATGATATACGATTTGTACTTTAATTTGCTGAGAATATAACATAAGCCTGTTACCAACGGATTATATAAACGGTATTAAATCCAAAATGTCGTCCATTATTTTTCACATGCAGATATCACCTAATTGTACTGGATATTACTGGATTGTTTACAATAATGCAATTATATCGATGACGTGGTCTAGCTAACCATTCTATCAGCAAATTATCGTATTTTCATCAAACTGTTTTTAGTTTTCAGGGTGAATGTTTTCATAATATTTCGCCGTGTTTACAATGCAATACCTCATTACGAACTCAGCAGAGGTTAATCCGAATCTCAGAGGGAGCTTCCGAACGACAATGAGTTAATTGGATACCAACAAAACGTACTACGTCGGTGAATCTTAAAGCCACAATGGCCCCATTTTATCAGACGGTATTTGCATTGAACCCAAACAGCTAACAATCATGTTTTAATATTTTTTGTTTTGCCTTTTTTTTCGAAAATTGACAGCATCTTAATTATTCGATGCTGGAATAATTAAGTGATAAAGCGCCAAATTGTCACCACTACCACTCTTATATTATATACCATTATATATATCGCTGTCATTCTGTTTCTCAGGATTAAAAAAAGTGTGACTGATATTAACGGTATCATACTCTAAACGATGAGACTCTTTGTTATTACAGAATCACGGGCGCTATTTCACAACGCTTTAGAAGAATCAAGACTCCTAACCCGAACGATTCATATCATGTGCAAGCGAGCGTTTTAATTTCGGTTTTTGCCGAGCATGCCTGTGACTAATAACGATCCCGTTACATGTAACCTTGCCTTGGTTTGAACTAGTCATTAACATGATAACTTGAAATCATTGTAACGCATGTTTTTATACTCTTAAGTTTAGGAGTCTTTACAAACTGGTTTTGATAATGCATGGGTTATATAGGTAACGATCATATTTGCTCTACTCTTTCTCATCTTATGTCATCAAACTGATGTCACTGGTCCTTTGGATGATTTATATTATCAACGAATTCCCTTTCTGTGTACGTAATATACGGAAAAAGAATATTTAAATGAAGAGAAAGCGCTAAATAGGGCAATACCTTGTAGGACATCTAACATGTTTAAAGCATTCACGTACAAAGCCATCATTGATAAGACAATCACATTTCAAACATGAATTTCGATATTTATGAGCATTTCTTTTTTTTTTTTTTTTTTTACATGTCACGTGTTTTGGTTTTTCTTAAATAACAACCATATCGATGATAACACGAGATAAACGCAATTTGCCCCTTTATCAATTGCTTCAAACATTGCAAAGCACTCTCTTAGCATATCTGGCATGACTATCTAGTCCAAGATCATGTTACTGAAATATTAGTCGGTGTACAAGGAGAAGACGCTTTGATATTTGCCTGTGAAACACAAGGGTATAATCTGCAAGATGATAAAACTGATTTAAATTTGCAAATCATGGAATGAAGTTATTTTTCTCTCGTGGAACAACATTATCGACATTTCATTACTGCCGCATCATATTTCCTTTTTTAAAGAAAAAGCATTATTCCAGAAATATCGATGGTCCATCGATGACATGTGATCCAGTGATCATATTATATTTTTTTCAAAGATCTAGAAAGATTTTCGCAGAGAAACAAAATATGACATTTTGTGTTTGACAGAAATCCTCTTTACGAACTGCTTTGTCAGCTTTCATATTATGGTATCCTCTCAACCATTCTCCGAAAAGCCTCGAAAGACTTATATTTAGGGAAAGCATGTGTTTTATTTGTTTTGTTTTTTTTTATTTTCTATGTTGTTGTTTGCTTGCATGTGCAACATGTAGCTAAATGCGTTCGATGTTCGTTGGTACGCCTGATGGTTTCGTTGTGTGGTATGAGGTTAGATTTGAGCGAAGCTCGTTGGTACGCCTGATGGTTTCGTTGTGTGGTATGAGGTTAGATTTGGGCGAAGCTCGTTGGTACGCCTGATGGTTTCGTTGTGTGGTATAAGGTTAGATATGGGCGATGCTCGTTGGTACGCCTGATGGATTCGTTGTGTGGTATGAGGTTAGATTTGGGCGAAGCTCGTTGGTACGCCTGATGGATTCGTTGTGTGGTATGAGGTTAGATTTGGGCGAAGCTCGTTGGTACGCCTGATGGATTCGTTATGTTAAATAAAGTTATATGTGGTCAAAGCTCGTTATCATGCCTAGTGGTTTCGTTTTTTGATATAAGATGTGTTCATTGTTATTTTGTATACCTGGTAGCTTGTTGTTGTAAACGATTATACAAAAGGCACAGATGAGAGTAGCATATCAAAGATTGTGCAAAAGACACAAAAATGAACTACACTTTAAATAAAGTTATCATCTGATTTAGCAGACCCTATGTCCTAACAATGAATTAAACTTTCTTATACAGCGGTCCGGTATTTCATAACACGTCCGTGATAGTAGGATCCTAACATGTTCGGAAGCAGTCGAGAAAAATCAGAATCGCCCGTAATCAATTGCAAAATATATATGGAAAAGGACGAGACGGCTGTTTGATACAATGTTATTCTTTTATTTGCATATACCTGAATACTTTCTTTCCTTGTGTGACTAACAGCATAGCAACGTGACTTTTACAATTACAAATTGGTTTGTATAGTTTGCCTTGCCCAAGGTTTGAGTCAGTAACAAAATAGAAATATGTTTTGTATAATTACTTTGCGTCACTCGCAAATGTCCTGTGTCACAAAAAAGAAACGTTTCTTTTTTACAATTTCTTATACAAGTAACAATATAGGAATGCGGCTTTTGTACAATTTCTTCTTTGATTTTCAATAAAAATGTGTCTTTTTTAATAAATTCTTGTGTCACTTTTAATTTGGAATGGTGTCTTTTGTACAATATCGAATGTAAGTTACAATAAAGAAAAGCGTCCTTTTTTGTCCTACTCGCAATGTAAAAATGTGTTTTTCGGACATTTTTGTCTGTTGCAATATCGCTATGTAATTCTTGTACATTTTGTTAGGTGTCACCAAAAATAAAGACGTGTGTTTGTACAATTTCTGGTAGCACTTAAACTATATAATAGAGAGACGTGTCTATTGTACAATCCCTTTATGTCATTTACAATATAGAAATATGTTATTTGTAATATGATATGATATTGCTTGATGGCAAGTACTGCTTGCAGACTTCATTTCACAAATTTTGCTGTAAAACCCCGAATATTACATACATTTTTTGGGTATCGGTTTATGATATACGAAAGCTCGGCGGATTTTGCTTTGCTTTAATAAGTATGTGCAAATTTCTATTCTTATACAATTATGTTGCTAATGCATTTGATTGCGTGTACATTGCTGATAAAACTGTCAATATATCGGGAGAAGGTGTTATTGATCTGATATCGATTGCACTAGATTCTCAATATCAATGCTAGCGTTCTAAAATGATACCTCTGAAAATATATGCCCTATTATGCCACTAGAACCTATCTGCCATTTTATAATGATATAAAGTGCCGTTCTATACACAGTGCGATATTTTCATAAAGGATTAATAACATAAATAACACGGCCAAACAAAACAGGATACATTCTATCTTTATGTAAATAATGATGCCATTCCACATTATCCTAAATAAAGGAATAGGCAGAATCAATAACATTGCTCTTCTTGCCTGAATAATATAAATAATGATTCTTTCGTAAAAACTGTCATGAGATTTTAAACTTCAATAGAACAAGTTCAAAAAGCATACTATTACATTGTCTCAGTTCAACCAAATACACCAGGAGGATGTTATAACCTCTTTCATATTGAAAAGTGTGAATTCTTGCGTCGTTACGCGCGATCAGTAGTTTAAACTCGAGATAATGTTGGCAGTTCACCTCGCTTAACTCGAGATAATGTTGGCAGTTCACCTCGCTTAACTCGAGATAATGTTGGCAGTTCACCTCGCTTAACTCGAGATAATGTTGGCAGTTCACCTCGCTTAACTCGAGATAATGTTGGCAGTTCACCTCGCTTAACTCGGGATAACGTTGGCAGTTCACCTCGCTTAACTCGAGATAACGTTGGCAGTTCACCTCGCTTAACTCGAGATAATGTTGGCAGTTCACCTCGCTTAACTCGAGATAATGCTGGCAGTTCACCTCGTTTATGCAATTTGAGAAGAGTCTATTTCTTTACTGCAATAGCCTTTGCATTTTTAAAAATTCATTTTTATTTTTCATTATCATCATCATCATCATCATCATCATCATCATTATCATCATCATCCACTCATTCATACTGGTATTTTTTTGTAATTAGCAATAACCATTGCATGCACTTGGAAACTATGGTCATGTACTTATTACCGGTTATACGACGTGAATGACATCTTTACTTTATAACTGAAATCATTATGCTATCTACTCTAAATATAGTGTAACTATCTCAATTATCTGCTTTAGTAGGATATCATGGTTCTTGTAGTAATATTTTATACATCAACTCCTTGCCAAATTAGAACCTTAGTAAGCAAACATACACATGAAAGCAGTTCGTAAAGTGTACATAGTTCGATTCATTACAAAGTTTAAATAAAGTCAATATATATATCGTTTTTGGGACAAGAGCCTGTATTCCAAATACGAAAAAGGACTACACTTGTGAAGAATTTAGGTGAAATAGAAAAAAAGTCATTTCTATTGACTAATGAAGCGTAGCATGTCTATGGGAACTAGACAATGATGAGTGTGGAAATACAAATCTTAAAAATCCGTCAATCGGAGAAATCATGAGTAAATGCAATTATCAGAATATTATTATCGCTGCAAATCTTTCAAGACCGGAACAAGCTGTAACAATGATAAAACCTCGTTTTAAATCTGCAGTATCAATCCAAAATTTTTCTCACGCTCCTGCTTTTTGAGGCTGGTGAATAATTAGTATCTATTTTGGGTTCAATCAAAATTACGCTGATATAACATATTTCATGGCTGAAATGTTTCAGGTGATTATGAAATAAGCAAAAACAAATTGAAGAATAATAATCACGACTTGTTATTGATTATAGTTGTATGATCGAATACAAAAATAAGACATCACGCGATAACACCAGTATTAAACTTACCACCACAGTGCTGGCAAGGCTTCTTGATGGGGAACTTTGACTAGCATTTTCAGCTTTTATAGCAGCAACTGGCTTCGAGGATCCTTTGTAGCTGCCGTAACTCCCAGTAGATTTTGTACTTCCGGTCGAAATACCTGTAGAACTAGAGGAATGCATTCTCCGTCCCGATCCCCTTTTCAATGATCCTCTGTTCTTCCTTACCATAGTCCCTTTCCGGACAAGCATCGACATCTTGTGGTAGTGAAAAATCAGCAGCCGAACTCCAGTAGACCTGTTAACACAAATGACAGGATTACTGTCAATTACATCTCAAAAATACATTGACGGTGACGTGGGAGAGGTGACAATGGCACGCGTGCATAGACCTTTCCACAGTGCGAATGTTACTCTTATGACGACATTTGATATAATACAAACAGGTAATTATATTGCTGAGTGTAATGATATTTCCACAAATCTCGGTAAAAACCTGATACCCGATTTATGTAAGCTGTTCATATATATTATTTATGATAAGGAGATCAGTTTGAATATTTTGATCATTTAACCGACATTTTATCAGATCATTTGTAATGACCACACAAAGGCTGTCAATTAAATAATCTGCATGCCTTATCAATATCGAGATACAACAATCTTGACTAGGCTAGTGAATTTGTAAAACATGATGAACCAACTAAGCCGTAGTTATAACAAATCACCCAGTGGTATGAATTAATCGGTCCAATTTGCGACACAGAATAGAATATCCGAAAAAAACAAATACCAGTAATCCCGATATAACAAATTTAAATAATCGAAAATAAATTATTACTTTAACAGTTTTTGAGAAACTAGCTTACATGAATCGCTCTAAAAACTGTAGTTTGCGGAGATAACGCACGTGGATGGGCAGATGACCCACACCTGTTCGCGTCCGATCAGGGAATCGTCCTGGGAAAATGCACGTGCTTTACTTACCATTGTGCCTTCCAGCTGGCGATATACAATTAGTTTGTAAATGTCATTAGACTGGTATAAGACCAAAGTTGTCTTTGACATACTCGTCTTATTTCATAGACTATATTAAACTGAATCACCATACAACCCTTTTATCCATATAGGTCTCGTAAGAGATGATGAGGACCAAACTTTTGGAAATATATAAAGGTGACAAAGTAATGCGAACTCCAGTTTACCTAAATGATAATTACATAACTACCATATTGTAAGGATAGCGATTTCTTGCATTTAAACATCTGACAGTAGAATTATATACCAACATTGAAATTCAACATTTATAACATCTATTGAGCTTGGGATTAATTACATCCCTTTTTAGGCTTAAGTTCAACCAAATGCTTCAGCGTTTGAAATAAGCTGTTACTATCAATCCTGACTTTCTGATTGGTGGAAATAATCCAACGATGTACCAGTGACACCAAGCGGCAGACGTATGCTTTAAACATTGTCGCAATTTTTCGTGTGTCATGTATGAATACTGACGTTATGAGATAAAATTATACTAAAATCTTAAAAAGAATTGAAAGGCAAGGTGTTCATGAAAATATTCCGATTGAGATTTGAGTTAGTCACGAGCTGGCATTGCTATGGTTTGCAGAGGATTCTCCGTAGCTTAACAACATGGCGGAACGCACAGAATTATGGGATCACTGACATCTATTCCTAGCGGTCTATCTAAAAGTCGACAACAACAGTTAGAATCGTAAAACTTTTCGGAAAACATGTCTTAGAATAATCAATATAGTTAGTGACATCATAAATATGATCACAATACACCTTTTTACCAAGTTTCATGTCGATTTCTGTAACAGGGAATGAGTAATGGAGAGTTAAATTTTCCTCTATAACCGGTGACACTATACATTGTGTACCACACTCTACGGCAGCGTCTTCAATTACGCATTTTTAAGATAGTAAATAAAGTAATTGATATCAAAGGTGATATAATCAATATGATTATAATACTTTTTTCTGTTTTTATATGAAAGACGACCGAGTAATGACGCTTTTACTCAAGCGAGAACGACAGCTTGGCACGCGCTGTGTACATTTGAAACAAATACCAAGGGTAATCGGGTTGCGTCTTCAGATACTATTGCCTAAAATACTGAAATAAGGTAACGACACCAAAACATGTATTGTTAATATGATTATAATACATCCTTGATTTCTTCTTGATATTTGTAAAATTGGTTGAATTGCGGAGAGATAAACTTTCCTCGATCGCCAACGGTACACCTGTGTGTGTATATCACACTTGACACCAGCGTCATCGTTCGTTTGTTTGGGTTTTTTTCACGGTTTATTAAAATAATACTTATAATCAATTTGCCTTAATTCTAAATGCAATAGTTTATTTCGCATATTGACCATCTGTCTTCAACATTTCGTATATCTAACAAATGATGACTTTCTCAGACCGCAATCACTTTATATGTTGATTTAATACGAAATGTAATCAATTACTAGAAGTATTTCATCCCATAATCGTTTTATGACTTTCACCAGAGACTTATATATATAAAACACATAAACGTTTCTGTTTTTTATATTTCTCGTCGGTCGCACAATATTATGTACAAATCAAGTAATTACGATCTCCGTGAGTGGAGTTTTCTTTCATGTCCCGCTGTCACATCATGCGCGCGCCGGCTGACACAAACCGAGGCCGCCTCAATGTATTGCTAGCGATCGCTATGTGGATCACGGAGTGTTGGCAAGCGAACTTTGTCAAAGAGTAACAATCCTTCACTACGCATTTTGATAAGATAATTGCGCGAAACATATCCTTATTATGACGAATAAGTAATTATGTGATCGTAAGACTGACAGATTTGCTTCGTAAACACCAATGATAGATGATAAATCTGTAGTCATAAGTCTAAATGCAGACTCCACATACTAATATTTCAACGCTAACTTCCGCCAATACACTTGCAGACTAGTGCCCATGGCTTCTCTGTTGTGATATCCAACGTGAAAGAGAATAAACGTAATTCTATCATTTCTTAACAGTCGAAATGTAAATGTTTCGAAAGATAATCATTTATAATCGTAATATTTCTCAATGCTCCGCAAAGGCGACTTTCTTTACCGGTCGGTAAATACCCGTCATGCTTGTTGCTATCACGCTTTTAAACAATCGTCCTGATTTTGGATGATGTTGACCCGGATCGTTTGCATTACTAGAATAAACACTAAAACAAATTATTTATTTTCGTCCCTCATAATTTTTGCGTACCAGATAATCCCAACAATCAATATCAATTCAAAAAAAGAAAAGAAAATGCTCAAGCTATGTAATGTGCGCACTCCCCACTTGATTAATCTCTTAATTTAATTGTTTCCGTGAAACGTACATTTCGCACAACTTTCACCGACTTGTTGGAAAATAATTCAAAAAGGGGTTGAGAGTAATATTTTGTAAAAAGTATTTGACTGTTTTTGCATGTGATGAATTACATCTCACATTTAAAGTTACAAGTATATTAATTACCAGCAGTTTCGTAAAATTGATTTATTTTCATTATCATAATTTCTTAATTCTGCAAATTTCGATTTCCACTAATTGCTTCCTAGGCTTCTCTTTTTTGTATCCTTAGCAACAGCAGTACGATGTAGTTTGCTCCACTAATAGCCATTTGAAGATATGTTCACTAACATAGTGTCTTCAGTATCACGTCCTGAAGTGGGCGTAGTGATCCTGCTTTTTCCTCCGGTGCTTTGCAGTAACTTTATTTTAATAAAGTAGATATATATGATTATATGTATATAACGTGACGATACATTTAAATCCTTGATATACAAAATGTAAAACTCTGAGGTCTGAGGTTAGTGGTCACAAAAGCATCGAGATACTAAATGTGACGTAAGCGTTTTGTATATTACGAAGTAACTCTTAACTGAGACACGCAATTCAATTTCATATCAATCATGTAATATCAGGATCTGTCCACAGACGTGATTGGGTAGACACTGCACGTCCAATACGGCGACAAATGTTATACCAACAATGTATTATCGCTGACCAAATAATCTCAACATCGAATACCAGAGAATGAGTCCGGTGTTAATCTGACCATCCCGGTATTAATCTGACCATCCCGGCGTTAATCCGACAATCCAAGTGTTAATCCGACCATCCTGATGTTTTTTTCATTGATATTATGCATCGGAGCGAGTGATGCCAATCGTACACTGTCTCATTAGTTTTGTAGCTAGTTAGCTGATTTCGAATTAGCGAATAGCGGATTTCTAAAGTCTCCGACATTGTTAATTTTTTTTTAAAAAAATCAAAAGTCAAATAACACCCTTTGCAAATTTACATTATTATTACAAAACTACTATTACATAGATATGGACTAGTTTTGTTTGTTGATTGTATATTTGATAGTTTGTGCATTCAGATACAGCAGTATTCATCCACCAACTGAACGTGTCTTAATGTTGTATCAAGCACGAGGTATGCTGAACGCTACAGAAGGGCACCTTGCTGCATGATGAGTTGCAGGGATCCTGACATCACTTATATACTATACAAGGGGACTATGTTGATAGTTACAGTAATAAGGCAGTCGCCATTATATGCTATATTACAGTCCAGTGTCTAGTTGCATATGCAAAATATATAATTCTGTAGAAGTGAATTTATATGCATAAAGCTACATGCTATACTAGGGTAGATTTTAAATTAGCTAGTTGAATTATGGGTCACATTTCTGTTGATAACATTTTCGATGAAGTATCTACCAGCCATGCAATCTCCTAGAAGCTAAGGAGAGCACAGAAAACTATGTCAACCACAGATACATCACATGAATCATCTGTATTAGACTTTGTCTATACTCCAAACTAAGCAACTACCGAACCATTTATTCTGCCTTGATCATTCTTTTAACACATCACAACTGATCGGATAATTAAATTCTTCACATTTCTGCAGTGTTTAACGCCTGTGGTGTCAACAGAAAAGACTTAATACTTGTGGTGAACTGGGGTATGGTGTTCCTTGTTTCCTATGATTTGTCATGAACCTGTCCTACGGGTGATATATAGAGAGCATCTGTCGTAAACAGAAATAAGGAAAACTATATTTTTCCTGCTTTAATTAAAGCTTTTAGCGTTAATACTATAGAGACATGTTCTTTAGGTATGTTGAAAACATGTTGCATGCAAGATGTTTGTGTCGTTAGATTTTGGAAAGCTGTTAAGCAGTTCATAATTACAAA